TACAGGAGTCGGCAACCCCCCCCCCCCGCATGCAGGAGCAGGGCACACAAGGCCATTTTGCTTGGCATGTCACAGTCAGCCCAGGCTGTAGGAAGCTGCCGCTGGCCATGGAGGCCCTTCCTTTCCCTATATTATGATTCCTTCTTTTTTAAGCTTTTATTCAACAAGGACCTTGTTACAGAGTAATTTTGGGTGGCTCCTGGAGCTCTTAACACCTGCACTGGTTGCACATTAACACCTAAAACTGGTTTTAAGCACTTGCTCTGTGGCTCAAAGCCTCTCTAGGCTACACCTTAGTGTAAATAATGCTCCTGCCCCTGCATCAAGCCCACTGCCCACCCCACACCTTCCCAAATCTCCACTCACTGCCCCCTTCCTACTTGTGACTGCCCCTGGCGTCTCTCCCAGTGGAATAGGCAGGGGAGGATTAACCTTGCCATTGTCTGGGCCAGACTCAGTCTAGAGAAGAGCAGCAGGGCCTGGGAACTGGGCAGGCATGTTAACTCTTCCCTGCCTGCCCCCCCAGGGCAGATATCTGGGAAACTACAAGAGTGGGGAGCCTGCAATGGAGGTAGGGCAGATTCCTACCTTTCAGTACTCCAGGCCCCTGCTGGCCTGAAGTGGGACTGCTCCACACGTGAACTAGCACTAATGCCTATGGCCAGGTGTGCAGCTCACAAAGTAACATATAACAGGCCCCAAGGTTCCTATTCCCATGTCTAATCTGAAGTCTGTGGTGTGCTGACATGTTCCAAACAACAATCCCTTGGGGAGGGGGAAGTCACTGCCAGTACCAACTGACTCAAAGAGCTCATTAAAAAAATACCTAGCCTTCAGCTGAGAGTCTGCTTCCTTTCTCCATCAAAGCATGAGGCAAGGGAGAAGAAAGGGCCCTGCTCTCTGCTCTGAGAAAAGCTGGTGAGAAATCAGCTCAGGAGAGTGGGGTAGTAAAACACCAAGGTTCTAGGCTTAACCCCTGGTTGGCTAAGATTGGTGGTTTTCAACCTTTTTTTTATTATTATTATTTGCAGACCCTTATAAAGTTTTGAATGGAGGTGCGGACCCCACTGAATTGTAAGTGTGGATATTCACATAATGTTGATTGATCACATTCATAAAATCATAGAAAACTAGCCCCAACTAGATCATCCCAGCCAAAACTTTGTCAAGCCAGGAATTGAAAACCTCCAAGGATGGAGATCCCACAACCTCTCTGGGTAACCTGTTCCAGTGTTTTCCTACCCCCCAGTGAGAAAATTCTTCCTAATAATTTCAACCTAAACTTCCCTTGCTACAACTTGAGACCTGTGCTCAGGGGTGGGCAAAATGCGGCCCATGGGCCAGATGCAGCCTGCCAGTCCCTTCTATCTGGCTCACGGGGCACCTAAAAATTTTAGAAAATTAATATTTATCTGCCCCTGGCTGCCTGTCCTGTGGCACTCAGTGACTTGCCAAAACTCAATAAGCGATCCTCTGCCCGAAAAAATTGCCTGGCCCTGCCATTGCTCCCTGTTCTGTCTTCTGCCACTGCTGGAAACAGTCCAGCTCCATTCTTTTTCAAACACCCCTTCAGATAGTTGAAGGTTGCTATTAAGTTCCTTCTCGAACTCTTCTTTTCTAGACTAAATAAGCCGAGTTCCTTCAGCCTCTCCTCAGAAGTCATGTCACCCAGCTCCAAACCCTCGCTGCAGTTCGGGCACTTCCCGCCTCCACAGGCCCTTCGCGTTGCCCCGGGACCCGCCCGCCGCCAGCCGGGTGGCAACAGCCCGAGCTTCAGGCCCCGCCAGCGTCCCGCAACCCCTCACCGTGTGTTGCGGGTCCCCGGCCGCCGCCGCCGCCATGGCGCCGCGCACGGGGGTGCGTGTCCCTTTAAGACCGCGGCGCCCATGCGAAGGGCAGCGCCCGGGGCAGCACCGCGCTCACTAGAGGCCTCGTAACTGACATCGCACCCAGCCAATGGAAGAGTTCAGAGCGTATTTCCTCGCAGCTGGTCCCGCCCCCGACGGAGACAACGCTTTGACGTCATAAAGCCAGCCCCTGGCGTATGACGGACAGCTGAGCCACCCAATAGGAAGATGAAGGAGGGGGGCTCACAGGGGGCACGGGGTGAAGCCAACGGCGCAGGTGGGTTCGCTCGCCACGCGCCTGCGCAGGCGCGAATCTGCGCCGGAAGAAGAGGCCGGGTCGTTGCCCAGCAGCCCCCACCCTCCCCTGCAGCCAGTGACCATGCAGCGGCCGCGCTCCTGCGGGCCAATGGGAGCCGCCAACCAATCGGGAGCCCCCCACGGGGAGGCGGGCGGGTGAGCCGGGCTCGCTCATTGGGCGGCGGCGGGGCGGGGCGGGGGTGAGGTTTGAAGGCCGGTTTGGCGCGCGGCGCTGATTGGCCGGCGACGGGGCCGGGCGG